TACTACTACTGCTACTACTACTACTTCTACTCCTACTCCTGCTCCTACTCCTACTACTACTACTACTACTACTACTACTACTACTACTCCTACTACTACTACTACTACTACTACTACTACTACTACTACTCCTACTCCAGCCATCGTCCATCGGGGCGCTCAAGTCTGCTGCAAGCCGGTACTTGCAAAGACTTACCGGACTGCATGTCTGCAGCCCTTGAAATCTTCCACCTCTGGGGAGAAGTTCCTTCTTGGACAACTTCACAATCAAGGAGCATGAAATTTCACATCAACAGAGCATCCCTCCTCCTCACTTGCAGAATCTAGGACAGACCTTGAAACTCACATGCAACAGGCTTTGGCTTACCGAACTGGGCACTTTGCAAGGACTTGTACACAGTAAGGTCCAAGCCGAATCTGACACCTGACAAGACATTCCCATGGTCAACAAGTGTCGATCTGGCCATGCAAAGCAAAATAATCGAGAACAACCCCATCGCAGCAAGCTGCAAGCCGAGCGCGAGGCACAGATGTGATCAAAGCCAGGACTGCATCCGCAGCGGTCTCGAGACTGCACCACCAGGCGGACTTGAAGGGAGTTTAAGGCAAAGCTCAGGAAACCACCTATCGCAGCGTCAGAAGCCCCAGCACAACTGCTCCGCTGGCTTCAGGCAAAACACTCGTCATCCACCGTGAAGGCCGTCAAAAGACATTGCATGTGCCCGGCAAAAGCAATACGATTTGGCTCGAATTTTTCCCGCGAGCCAGTCAAGTGCTCTCAAGCTGGAAGGTTTGGCTTCCTGTTTGCCGCCGTCGTTGATCACTGTTGATCTCGTCTGGCTCCAGCAAGCACATCAAATGCGGGCACCACGACCTGCGATCCCTGGACGCAAGAGAGGACAATGTGGGTTTGCGTTCGTGCTGAGGTGAGAGTTGAGATCTCGTCGAGCAAGCCGAGCCTATAGTCCAAGGAGGCAGTGGCCACACAGCCCCCACGGTTGCCTGTCACCGGAATGCCGAAAGTCTTCTAGTTCTCGTGGTTGAACCGTCACGGTCAATCGCCGCAGCTCTTCACCAGAAAGTGTGCCAAGACTGGTCCTACACGGAAGCCAGCTTCGAGTCTGTCCACCGTCAATCTATATACTGCGGTGTCCTGAGGATGACTGGCGCGCTTAGACAAAGTAGAAGTTGAAGGTGCCATGCCAATATCCACGCGGGAATAATCCTCAGGATGATGTGGTGCATTTGCGGAGGCGTGGGCCTTCCGCTTTGTCTGATTGGTCGGGTATATGCAGGCAAGACTCGTACTTCTCTGCACGAGGTTGAGGCAAAGGAGCATAAGGCGTCAGGGTGCTTTTCAGCATTTCGTTGTATTTCGCCTCGGCTTGCACTCAACGTTCGTGACACGACTTGGTCGGCAATCTGACGAAGGATACCCTACAACAAACTTTTTGACAAGAGCGGCGATCACACCTACATCAGACGGAAGCGGGAGGATGTAGACCGCGGCGGCTGCGACTGCCAACCTGCCCAATAACTTTGGGGATCTTGGCGTCGCAAGACTATGAAATCTCTGCAGCAGAGTAGCGCAACATGCTCCAGACCTGGCGGCATCCATTAGAGTACTTCTGATCTGTTGTTGGTGAAAGGTGCAGGACGCACTTCTGCATCATCCTCTCAGTCTCTCTGCCCCTTCTTTCTGCACATCTAGAATGAAAGTGCAGCCCACGATCAGTGCTCAAACCACCCTTCCTGTACTCTGGAAACAGATTGAAGCGATTGTTCGGTCATTGACATCTCCAAAAACACGAGCCGGCCCCCTTGGCCAGTCCCCTTTGGCCAATGTTCACCATTCCTCACAGACTCCCAAGCCCTGATCACGAAGCACGTTTGCATCCGCACAGCCCGCACCCCAACCCCGGTTGCCGCCCGGAAACACTGCCAGACCGGCCCTGCCTGCGCTTCGTTTCTGAACACGGCTGCAATTACGATTTGCGGTGCAGAACATGAGGGCTTTGCAAAGTTTAAACCGATAATTCGCTGCATCCTGCCTATGAACCAGGTGGCCTTTTGGCCGAAAGGAAGATCTCCTTGCATCTGCTCATCTGGTCACCAATAGACCAACATGAGACGACACCAACAGTCTTGATTGAACCATCCAAGGAACTTAAAGGCCAACGTAAGAAAACATTGCATGCCTTGTCTGGCACAGGGCGACATACCCGGGTCTGACCCTCGACATAGTTGCCCAGATGCCATGTTCACCACCACTGCAACCCTCAGGCAGTACTTGTCCATCAAGGCTTTTCAGCAGCAGGCTTCAACACGGGGGTGTTGGATTGCAGACCAGATGCTGTGATATGCCTCGCACGCCGGATTCCCAGAAGCCAATGCCTGCAGATGCGAAAACAACGTAGACGAATACTCACGGGCGGCAGAAACTCCCGACGGTGTCACTGACCAGGCGTCCCTTGAGTTGTGCGAATGGGGGGCACGCGTGGACACCCACTGCTTCAGCTTATACACTTGCAGATACAGGAACTAGCATGGGCATGCGTCACAAGCGCAGGTAGTACATACAAGCCTCCCGAGAAAACACGGAGGCAAACGCAGTTTTTGAACACGACTGCTTGTAAACTTCACACGTGACTTGACAGCGATTTCACCTCCAATCAACGACTGTTAAGATGCCTTCGTGGCTGTACAATTGTAGAACTGCTGCAGGCTTCTCGCAGAAGTTTTCCTAACGATCGCAGCGTGTGAAGCTGGAAGCCTGAGCCCTTGACAGAACCGAGCCCAAGACCTCCTGCAAACTGAAATGAAGCGCTGACTTTCTACAAGAAGCCTCGAAATCATCCTACAAGCACCCCTGCAAGCTAGTAAACAATGAATTCACGCATTCTGTTGAGTGCTGGCCGTGCTTCTGCGGTTCTTGCTCAATGCGGCTGATACAACTCGGAAGCTTGTCGAGTACGCATGGAGCTACTGGTAGCTCCGCAGATGGTTGCCACCACATGCACAGATGTTGCCATTTGTTGCGCAGCAACAGCAAAGAATACGCAGATTTCCAGACACCAGAAAGTGCAAACGTGGCGGCAAATGCAGGATTCAGAACACAGTCGACAGCAAATGTCTTGAACGGCCAGGCCGATTTCGCAAGAGGCTATGATCCACGCTCTATGTCTGGGACAATAAGCATAGCGAACAGGTGAAGAGAGAAAACGGAATTCACATCTGGACACAAGTCTGCCCAATCGCCTGCCTTCGGCTCCATGTGGCTCAGGACGGCACGTGATGCGGGTCATGCGAAAAGCCATTAGCCTTTAGAGCGACTCGTGTGAGGACAAAGACGACACCGCTCTATTTAGCGCCCCCTTAAGGTGCCCTCTTCAGGCCCCGCCCTCTTCTTCGTGCCTGAAGACCATGATGTTCACCGGAACTGCCAGGATGGCCTGGGCTGCTGAAGGCCGGGTAGGGCGTCAGGCTGCTCGCAAAGCTGGAAGCTGTTGAAGCTCGGCAGAGCGGCGATCATGGGCACCAAGACGCTGAACATAGAAAGCCTCAAACGACCGCAGAATCTCATGATGAGCTGCCTGCTACAACGGAGACTTGCTATCTGAACAAGACAGCATTGTGCCAGTCAGGCTAGCAAGTCGCAAAGCAAAGTTGATGACCACCTCCAGGAAATCCTCCACAATCGAACCTCCCCAGGAATCAAACCTTATTCAGAAGCAGAGCCACGCAGCCACATGACAAGGTCCAACATGACAACAGACAATCTCTAAGTCGTAGCAAAGCCACTGATAAGGTGCGAGGTCACAGCATTTTGCCTGATACCTTGAACTGAAGTTTAAGTTCAAAACGGAACTAGCCAAGTGTCTCACAGTTCTATGGCTGTGCAAACATCTAGACAAGGAGCTGTAGCAACGTGTAGTCCACAGTAGATTCGTCGTACTTCTCTGCTGCCCGGCGAGACTCTTGCATTTCAGCCTTGCCGTTGCAGCCGTTGCAGAGACTGCCAAAGGCTGATGCCTGCCTAAATCTTTCAGGAAATCTCAGTTCGTGGCACATTTGACGAGAATCACAGGAATCAGGAGGAACACGACAGTTAGCAGCCCCTGCGTGGCCGCACCCTCACTGAAACGAACAGAAAATCGGACGCACCGTCACCGTGCCTGGAGAATGTAGAATTGAAACAACCTCAACATGCAGGAATGCATATTTCATGCCTTGGCATGGATTACGGTGGGTATCGTATTCGAACGGACAGTGCCGTGTGCTTTCCAGTCAGTCAGTCGTTGAGCAACTCGGCTGCGCCAATGTGGTGAAATCCGAGAAGCGTCTCCCGCAGCTCGAAGGTGCAGCTTGTTTCATCATGTACTTGACCTTGTTTCTGCACCATGTTTATGCGGCACAACGGCCACATGTGGTGACACAAGATGCTATGCGCAGACAAGATCGTGTCTGCCGAGTCTCCTTTGAGAAACATCGCTGGACCTCGCAAACCAAACTGCACCCTCGATAAATTCATGCCTGTGCAGCCGGTGAGCGGCTTTCAGCCGACCGTGCTCACCCTGAGACACTCCCATTCCCTGCCAAAGGGCTTCTGGGCCTGCAACCTTCGATGCAGACTTGCGTCCGACCGTCCTTCGCACCGCGCTACCGACGAGCGACTACTCTACAAACTCGACGGATGGATCGGGGGTACTTGTGTCACACTGCTAAGCTCCACAGCAACCCGTCGAAAGCCGCCAACAGTAACAGGCATTTCGATGAAACAACGGCTTCGGCTAAGTCTTGGTATACAAGCATGAATGAGAGCTGCTAATGCAAAAGCCTTCCTCAAACCGGATTTGTGAGAAACACTACTTGAGCTTGGCGTCAAAACTTTGAGTTTTCGGATCATGCGCGTTCTGATGAAGAGGCACGGCATTTTATTCAGCCAGGTAGGCGTATTTTGCTGTACTTGTACAGTTTTTCTTTTTGAAAGATCGGTCGCGGACATCCTGCTGCCACGGTGAAACGTGAAAAACACAAAGGCTGGGGAAGACAACGATTTACCCGTACATAGAATGTATGTATACGAACGAAATCGTACACAGCTACAGATTTAGGCGCAGCAAGAAGACACATCAAGCAATTTTGACGTGAGTATGCCAAACACCAAGAAAGGCCGACTAGAAACAGACAAATGATCCGCGGGGGCATCCTACCCCGCTGTGCCAAACACACCAAATGAGATTAATGACAAGTATCTCCCATTTGCCCATGAAGGGTGCCAGGGCGGATACACACAGGGACGTTTGCCTGGGTTGTGGAAAGTTGCATGGCGACAGCAAGCAGCTACGCCCTCACTTGCTCCCACGAGGACATACGGGGACATACGGGGACAATTACAATTCGGCATGAATGAGAAAGCTTGAGCGACCCAGTTGGAGGCCGATGGGAAGAAGCAGGCAGAGAGCGGCGAGAAATGGTTTGAGGCACGGCCGCGGAACATCGACCATTGAGAGGGAGAAGCTAGACATCAACAAAACCGCAAAACGTGCATGCGCTGGCGCAGCCCGCTCAAACGGAGTACATCAGCCTCGGTTGACCAGACTTTCGCACATGCACAAAACGAAGACACGCAACCAAAGGGAGTAGAATCCACGCTACAGCCGTAGCCATTGTATCGCACGCAGGCTTGGGAGCAGCAGGCAAAAACCAGGAACCTCTACCCGCCATTGGCGGATTGGGTGAGCCACAATGCCCTGGCTCAGCTACACTGCCAAGTCCACAATCAATCCGTCCATCCCTGGCAGTGAGACTGCCCCCGCACCACCAGTTTAAAGCTCAGCCAGTCTGTTGTCAATATGGCATTTCCGCAGGGCAGCACTCATCATGCTCGTTGTGTGCCTGCCTGGACGCAGCCCTCAACCCTGAGATGCACGGAGTGAACGCAGGCTCTCACAAGCGCCCATGACTGCGGGCATATGTCACCCTGCAGCAAGGATCCCGACGGATGCAGCCTTAGTTTCATGGGCACATGCCCCTTCGATCTGGCTCCATCTCGGGTGAACCAGAACGATCACGCACTTATGCGTGGCAAGACTGAATGCTTCAAGCATGTGGCAGAGGCCGACCAGAAAGGAGGGAAGTGAGAAAACGCATCAACAAGTTTTTGTGTCCCCGGCACCAAGATTGGTATACCTGAAAACGGATGAATGATGCATAGCGCATCTGGCATACGGATAGGGTCCTGCTTCTGGCGCGCCAAACACAGCGAAAAGCCTGATGATGCGTAGGGGTAGGGTCCTGCCCGGGTGTGCCAGACAAAGGCGACGAATGACAATGACAAGCATCCCCAGCTGCCCGTGCAATGGCCCAGGGCGGACACATGCGGGACGGTGTGTCGGGGTTGTAGGAGAAAGCGCTGAGCGGAGTTCGCAGCAACATCCTAGCCTCCGTTTGCCTCCAAAATCGAAAACTGCGCAAAAGCTCCATAGCGACATGTGCAAGAATGTCGAATGTGTGCACACACGTAGGCAGACACACATGGACACACCCGCGAGCGCACGCGCATGTACAAATCACGAACGTGTTGCAACGAAGGGCAGTGGCCCTCCCAGCAAAGTTCGCAGCTTGCATCAGCTTGCTGACAACATGTCCAGTTGTCCACACGAAGCCACGTGCCTGGGTGATGTTGTACAAGTATGGGTACGGTGACCACAGCTTGTCCTAAAACTTCACGGACATGCAGGGTTCTTGCAAGATCTTCCTTGTGTTGCACTTCGGTGAGGATGAACACGCATGCGGCGCAAGCGTCTCCCAACTGCATCTTCAGTGTCTGGATGTCATGCTTGTGGGCAGGCCAGATGCCTAGCATTCATAAACTTGGAGCCTACAAGGTGGGCATAGCCATGCTCAAGTTAGATGCGTTCGAAGGAGCTTGCTAGCACTTCGTCCGCACTCTGTTTGCATAAGGGTTCCTCATGGGCAGCGGAATTCGCATCGGCACAGGTGATTCCAAGACTCGCGACGTCAACTCCAAGGCTCACTAATATTCGCGATGAAAGCCAGCCGAAAGAATGGAAACCTCGGCTGCCCTCGAAAAAATCTCGAAATATATACCAAACCCTTGCTGCTGCATCACAGGACGTACGACTGAAGCTGGTTGCCACAGAAAGGCACAGCAATGAACACCTTCACCGTGCACAGACTGAAAGCCAAAGAGGAGTTACGGGCTGCTCGTGTCCTCGGAAAAATCACAAGATTCGGCGCGTCGTTCGCAGTCGCGGATCATCCCAGCCTGTGGTTTTGTAGCCTTGCTATCAGCGGGACTATTTTTGCCTCGGCTAAGCATTGAGCTTTCAACGTGGTTTGTGAGCTTTAAGTGGTGCTTGGATGGCTGAGGCACCCATCCAAAAGACAGCCCTCGGATCAGGATTGTCAGGGCCTCAGGACGTGGCAACATACAGGCATAGTGAAACTTGCAGGCCGTCTCATGCACGAACCAGCGCTTGCCAGGACGAAGAAGAGGCAGAATTGTCACCTCATGCTGGCAACTCACTATGCCGATCGTCCGAGCAAGGCTACTTTGATTGCAATCCAATCGCCTTTCATGCCCCATTCGAGGGTGAACACGAAGCCAATGTAGAACAGCCTGCGCGATTTAGAGATACTCAGAAGATGAAGGATTCAGACGCAGCAAGGACGGCATAGCCAGGAGAGAGACACTAAACAAGTACGCTCGGGTTTCGAACAAGCAGCAGATAGACGATGACGATCATGTTGCCCCACCTGACTCAACTCGAATGCTTGGAACCTCTTCGGGCGAACTGAGTTCTCGGCATGTAACGGAAACTCAGCTCCTTCCTCAGCGCGCGACTTTTCTTCACCTGCTCCGGACCGTGAAAGTCCGGGGCACCTGCGTTCCCTCCAATTCCGGGCGATACGATGAAAGCTCTATGTCATGCTCCTCATAGTCCTTGCTGCACAGCTGTCTGCTCTCGACCTTGACATGGGCATTGAAGAAAGCCCTGCCTTCATTCCCCATAACTGCTTGTAGCGTTCGCTGATGTTCCTGTGATCACACAGCTTCTCCTTCCAACACTGTCAACTTTGGAAACAGTTGCACAGATTCTGAGGAAGAGGCTCCCATGTACGGCCAAACAAGACCGTCCTTCCGGCACATTTGCACCCAGCTTTGCAAAACGATCCACGAACACTATGTGAGCGCAGGATCGCAGCACGATTCTTTACTCAGAAGCTTGCAAGCACATCAAAGCGGTGCTAACCACCTCTTGCTCTCAACAAGCACGCACACAAGAGTGGTCAAGGGAGCGTCCAGAACAGGACCGTCAAAGAAAACGCCTTCCAGCAAGGCGAATACACTTGAAGGCAGAAGAGCTTGTCGGTCCACAAAACAATTCCGCATGTGAAATGACCCATGGAGCCTTTTGGACCCAGCGCTGGTTCCTCGCAGCTTTGAACTCTTGGTGGACGCGGCCTATGCTGCAGGAGAGTCCTCGTATCTTCGAGGAAGGCAGCAGAGAGTGGCACCTCGAACAACGAAGAATAAGTCAGGATAGAGATCTCCTCTCAGTTAAGAAGATGAGCACAGCGAACTGCTGACGAGAGGCAGCAATGGCAACCAATGCCTTGCAGACAGACTTTACGGGAGGCTGCACAGGTACTTGTGTTGCGTTGTCCGCTGGCATGCTGAGGCCTGCAAGGGTCGGGTAGGACCTGCTCCCTGTGACACACAGACCTCTTCGCAAGGAACAAGCCAACAAAAGCCGCCACTAATAATTCACTAATTCTTGCGGGGTCAATAGATTTTGAGCAAGCGCTTCAGGTTTCGTAGCAACGCAGTCTCAGGCAAGCTGCCAAGACCATAACGGATCTGATGTAATGGCTGAAAAACAGGAAGAAGAAAGCAACCTCCTGCTCAGGCACTCCGTTTACATTGCAACATGATGTTACAACATGCGACGGCTGCCTCGGGTCCACCACGTTAGCAAATGTGACTTTGCATTATTTCTTCTGGTCGGGAGGGCTATGAGCAGCATGTCCTCACCAAAGTAATCCCGAACTTGCTGGCTTCCCGACCTGTGGCAATGCAAAACCACCACAGAAAAGCCACTCTGCCGCAGGAACATGGATGTAAACTGCTTCTTGTCCACTGCCCCAGTGTCAGAGTTCCGAGCAAAGTCGGTGGGCAAAGCATTCGCGAGGTGCGTGCCCATCGTGACATCAAGTGTGACAGAAGAAGGGCCTGAATACAGTCGACATTCAGACCCCGCAGCAACACTCCAGATTGTCTGACGACAGCCCGACATGACTCAGGTCCAAACTTCAGAACAAGGGAAGTATTTGACCATCACCTGGGTGGGGCAGTTTTGCGAAAACCGCTTGCTGTCGTGATAAGGCTCATCCAGCCTTCTGCTCCAGCATTGCTGCGAGATCGATCCACCGGTCAAGACGAAGCAAGATGAGACCTTGCATGAAGGCCCAGTAGTGCCTCTATCTCCGAAATCGGGGCAAGTCAGGTATGATCGTGTAACCTGCAAGGCAGGACTTACATCGGAAACAGAAAACCATGCCGGCTTCTTCAAGCCCCTCGATGCCGAAGCTTCGGATACTGAACTTCTGAACACGAAGCCTTGCTCAACAAGACGAAGCTTCCCCGAAGCTGACATTAACATCCCTTTCAAGTTTCAGGACTTGATGTCTGTAACATGCAAATTTCGTCATGGCGGCGTATTTCATCCACCTGTCGAAATGGCTGGAAGAATCGAGCCATCTCCACCTCAAACAATGTCAGAAACATGCGCTTGAAAGAAAGCCCACGCCGTGCAGAGGACCTTGTACGAAGCAAAGCCGCAAACTGTCTGACCATATTTGTTCCTGGGTAAACAGATGTCAGCATTGATCTCACGCTGAACTCGTAATGAAATGCCAAGCTTCTGCATTGGTTCCTTTCCAGGCCAGTTGCCCCAGGCGTCCATATCTTCGTATGACTCCTGCTCGCACTATCAAACAAACTAAACTATGGTTTCGTGATTGGGTCCAACATGATTGAAGCGAACTGGCTACGACGTCCTCAGTGAAGGGCATGCCTGCCGTTCACAGTCATTGCATCCACGTATCTACCAAGCATTTACGAAGGAGGCATCTGCAGCTCAGCAGCGGTAGCGGTACCGCTCTGCAAGCTCCTGCAAGAGCTTCTGCGACCATCTCCAATCCACGGGGCTCTGCAGCACTTCGGGGTCCTGGATCATCACGCCACCGCGGTCTAGCCCGACCCGCATGAACACCTCATCGCCTCAGGCCAACGACTCTGAAAATTGCAGGTGTACGCAGCATGCAGTAGCATGCGCACACATGCGCAGGATCTGCAACTGAAAAGTCAACAATCCCATTGAACATACCGCAACGGCAGAATGGCTGTCGTTGGGCTCACATCATAGGGCACCAGGAAAGCTGACAGAGCTGCAGATTATTGGTTGTCCATGCCCGGCATTGAACACCAGATTTGCTGAAACCAGGGCTGAGTGCGAATAGCAGGCCTCGGAACATGCATGTGGGTTTGTGCGAAGTGCCGAGAGCTCAATTTGAGCAGTTTATGGGTTGTTGCTGAATCAGAACAAATTGAAGCAGATTTGCGTTTGGGGATGGCATTGAGCACCCGAAACAGGAGCCGAATGCGTTCAGCAGGCCTTGGAAAATCGGGGGCTACGCGAACTCAATTTGAGCAGCTTGTGGGTGGCTGAATTTTCAGGTGTAGGGACACCAGATTTGCAGCTTGGTCGGAGGTTCCCCGCCCCGAACCCGGAACCAACCCGCCCCGCAGGCAGCGCGTAAGAGGAAACCCGGCTCGGATCCCACCCGGACCTCCAAGCTGCCCCAAGCCTTATTTTGGCTGAAGAGACCAAAGCTCTCGCTGTTGGGCAAAAGCACGGAGCAGGAAGACCTTCTCGTAGGCTTCAAGCCCAATTCAGAATTGCGTGACTGGAACTAAAAACTCGCAGCTTATCGGCAACTCCAATCGATTGGCGGGGGGTTCTCTTCCGACACGCACTGATGACCACACCTCGAGCCCGCAGGCTTGCAGAACCTGAATGCTCCATTACTCAAGGCATGCCGCTCTCAGGCTTCATTTTCTTGCTACTTCTGCTGGTGGCTTGTATGTCGCAGGTCAAGTCACCATCAATGCTCTCGAACGTGTCAACCTGCACAGCAACGAACAAAGATAGTAGGATCGGATGTTCTGCTCGTCTAGCAGAGGATACGAAACAGTTGCCTTGAAGGAGGTCCTCTGACAAAGCTCCACGAACTTGCTCCTGACGAGGTCCTCACAGGCCCAGCATAAGCTACGAAACGCCACTTCTTTGCCGATGGCTGCCTGGTAGACCAGCTGCGTGACACTTTCGCCGCTCTGCAAGACATCAAAGCCTGTTAGGAGGCAATGCTCCAAGAACTGCATCGTCTTGCCGAGCAATGTCAGGTCCGAGCTGCCATCTTCCAGTGTTTGCCAGCCTGAGATGTCAGGAGGCTTTCTTTCTGCTTTTGCAGGTACTCTGGCAGCGGCCTTTGTCATGTCGAATTACATTGTTCGCCCGAGCAGCTGTCCGCATTCATCTTCCGGACAAAGATCTCTTTCGCTTTCTGGAGCAAACACACCAAAAAAAACTTCAATACACGATGAAACTCTCACAAAGACCAGCGGAGCAGAAAAGCTCTCGAGACTCTGCTCAAACTACTCGGTAAAGGCCCATCAGGTGCACCTCAACCGGCGCGGCAACCGTGTCATCTTCATCGATGCTGCCTCCAGCCGCTTTGCCTGGCAGACAATGAGACCACAGACGACCTTGCTCGATGCACTTTCAATACTTCCGGGCAGTCGGGCATTACAAGACTTCAAGACACCATGCTGGTTTGCAAGCTGTTCTAGACTTGAAGCGAGGCAGCATGGGCCTCTGGCGAACACGAAGCAAATTGCGAAACCCTGGGTGTCGATAACGAGTTCACTTCCGAACCTGGCATCTGTGAAAAATCGCAGCACTTTCGGTCTCGGGCTTCGCGGTCTGCTCCGGTTTACATGCACTGCCGGGTGCGAGTCCAGGGCACAAGTTGAGCACGTCTTCGGGACCACTGTCCTTTCCACTCACATGTCCTAAAGAAGTCTCACGCTGCCAACAGCCTGCCTCGGCCAACAATTCCGATTCTGGATCTCTCTCCATGCTGCAACATCAGCACGGACCATTCGATTCAAACCCAAGCTCTTCACTAGCTGCGTCACTAGCTGCCAGTAGCTGCTTCCTGTGTTAAGCTCGACGTGTGCTCTTTCAAGGCTTACCTGACGAGGAACGACGACTGTCCTGCACGCGACATTACCTGTGTCATTGCACCGATTCCAACGAAGTGCCAGCGGCAGATCTTCTGAACCCAAGAAATGTTACATCACAGACATGCGGAGCAAGATCGTTGTGGAGAGAGGGGTCGCCAGCCATGCCTCTCTCGCACGGATTCATCCATCTTCTCAACGATGTAGGCTATCCTGCCATCGACGTCTAGAGTCTGGGCGGTATCAACCTGACCACCTCTTACATAAAGACACACAATCGTAGAAATGCGAGTAAGCAAGGCCCTGCTGCATGGCAAGCTAAGTTCGCTACATGTGCTCTTCTTCCAGCTGGGGCAGACGTGCAGTTTCTTTCTCTGTCAACGCCACCTGACTCGTGTGTTGTCAGAGCACCGCAACGTGCCGCAAAATTTCGATGAGACAAAACCAACAGGCAATGCGGGCACAGTGAGGGCCACACGCCAGAATAAGCAAGAATGTGCAGAAAGCCTTCTAAAACCTGCATCAGACGAAGTCAGCCAGATCAGGCACTTCACAGTTGACAGCTCGATTCTGTAAACATGTCCCATAAACTACACGGAGGATACCAAGCGGGGAAGCCTTGAAACGATTCCAACTGCGGCCCATTGACGAGGTCATGATCTCGGGGCATCAAAGCATCACAGCGAGACCGCCGACCACACTAACGTCTGAGAGCCTGACCTGGAAGTGCAAACAATCCAAAAGCTGCTGCAACTGTCAAGTTCGAGGTTCTGCTACACAAGGGCCATCCATCAGGCTCCATGGTCATGCTCTGAGCACTGCCATGGTCGCCTGCGCACCGATCGACTCGTCTGACAGCCGAGCTGTCCGCTCCTGCTTGCAGCATGCAGCATGCAGATTTAATCCCACAGCACACCTGACGCACTTGGGCTTGTTGTGTCTGCTTTTGTCCGAACTAAACCAGGTCCAGCATTGCTGCCGTTGGGGACAGAGGACTCCCAGGCTCACGCGCCATGCTTGCAGGGCTTTAGAAGCGTACTCTCCATGCAAAGCATGCAAATGAATAGTCACGGTTGAACTGCTGGAACAGTCGACCTCTGCCTTCCAGCTAGAGCCCAGAAAAGGCTTGTCCAGCAAAACGCTGTGCATGCTGCAAGCTGCACGAAACTGGCACAGGTACGAGATGCTACGAGTAGGAAGTGGTTCTTTGTCTGTTCGTCTTTCAGCAGACTTTCGACCCCTCTTAGGGGGTCTCCGTCAGCTGGCCCGACTAAGTACAGCCACGACCACAGCGGTACCTTCCTCAAAGCTCGAAGCAAGACGACTTTCCACATAACTTCCCAAAGCGCAGCGGATTCCTTACCGAGCTATTGACAGTGGAGAAATGCGAGTTGCACAATTCCCGTCTCGCACGTACATCGTACAATCCGAGCAGCGGGAGTGATGCGTCATCCGCCGTGGCTGTCCCTGCTGGTTGGGAAGAGAGCGCCTCTTCCAAATGGTTGAAGATCAGCCTCCACCAGATTTGCCGCATTTCAGCATGATGTCAACAGACACCAACGGAAGCAAAAACGTGTCATCGAAATGGTGTTGAATCTTGCGGCTCTGCTACTGCTGTCACATGATTTGCTTTTAAGCGCTTAGTCCCTGGCCTATTGTTGTAGATGACGCGTGGGAAGTCTTTGTCACTTGGACGGTATTCCGAGTGCAGCCCAGCTCGGAAATTTGCAGATTCCTTGCCGATGCGCTCGATGTGCGACCTGATGGCAAAGAATGCACAAGAGCATGGGCGGCGATGTGGATACCTGGAGGTCATGTCGCTCCTTGTGCTGATTTGATGAACGAAATTAATGAAGCTATTTCTGAATCGTCGCATCGCAGAAAAGAGTTGCACAGTTTGAGCGCGTCGTTCGCTTTCGATTTGTTGTGGATGTGCCGCCCAGAACATGGGAGGTGGAGTTGAGGGCAAGTCCCCAGTTCCGCACAAACATAGTTGTTTTGAGCTGCTCTGTTTGTCATGTCATCGTTCCCAGGCTCCTCGATGAGGCTTGAGTCCAGGCTTTGTCGCACCGTACAAGCTGAGAGGGCGGTGCGAGGGGAACATGAAAAATACTGATGTTCAGATGCTCATGAAAATGCTCATGCAAGTGATTTGCATGACATGGAACCGAACTCGTTGAGCTGACACCTGCATGCTGTTATATCAGTTATATCCCATGAACATTCGCAGCTCCATTTCCGTGAAGCTGGCTTTCCGTCAAGCACGAAGAACTCAGCTTCGCCTAGACGAACAAGGTGCTGGGGAGAGACAAGCATGGCAAATATTTTGTGGCAACTTTCTGTGTCTTGCAAGTTTACATCAAACAAACCGCTACATGATGCAATGGTGTGTATATCCCGCTTTTTTCGTGCCTGCACGGGCCTACACCGAAAGAACCTGAAGCGATGCCTTTGGCCAGAAAGCCTGCGACGGCGAAATCTGAGGCCAACTGGGAGAGCGAAGCTTGCCAGGCAGCCTTTTCCATGTTTATAACCACCGTATTTGACGACCACTACAGTAGCATGAAGGAACATGCGTAAGCACTCAAAAGCCGGATCCGCTCACGTGACCACCGCGGCAAGCGTCGCAACAGCAATTGCGCTGCCACCTCTTGGAAGTAGAACGCGACCGGCCCCTGCAGGCTATGAGGGGCCAACTCTGCCGTCCCGAGATTCAGAAAGCTGGCTCCAAAACCACGAAGGACACCCGGAGCGGCGGCACAATCACAAAGCCGGTGAGGCACACCAAAACGGGCTGTGATTGTATTCCACTGGTGACGGTACATGTGCTCTGAGCCCCGGATGCGACGGGAGTGCAAAGCCAGCTCGAGGTAGAGCGCGTCTAACAGGTGCAAGACGAGTGGATCCTCAGGGCCACGTGTTGGCGCCGCGCTGCGTCGTGGGGTTGCGGATGTGAGCATAAGCCACCGGGAGAAATGACCGGACAGGAGGTGGTGGCGTGCACGAGCAGGTGCCCAGGGTGGACCGAGGAGTAAGGTGAAGACCGAAGGCCAAAGAACCAAAGCAGCAGTAGAAGCCGAGGTTAGGACAGCGGGAGGCCAAAAAGTAGGCTTTATCCATCTTGCACCGTCACCAGAGCAAAGCCGCCCTGCAGATCAAGATCACCTGGAGGGCCACCATCATCGAAGGGCCCGGGGTCACGCTCGATGTCACCACACAAAAGAAGCAGCAGACGCCCGCCGCCCCACTACGCGAGAAATTGAGCCAGAGGCACAGACTGGGTCAAAGTGACGAAAATCTCCTGCAACTAAAGACAGGAGCCAACGAGGCCAAGCTTTCGAAGCAGCAGTTGGTGGGCGACCGCGGGACGGGTCGTCGCTGCGGTTCTGCGCCGAGCACGAGTGCAAGCCGCCGGGGTAAACCAAGAACGTACGGCAAGGCGGAAAACAGCACCCGGCACAAACGCACCGGGCACAGGGCTTGCGAGTCCGTTTGCGGCAAAGCCCAGCCGGGCTCAACCCCACGAGCCCACTACTAAAAGCCCTGGCCTCGCGGATGTTGATGTGTCCGAGAACAACGAACTTGTAGCCTTGTAGCGAAGAATTTCACGGAAGTCAAGACAATCGGCGACCGACGATCCGCTCAGGATCGTGGAACAGACGCACGGGAGTCCTGAGGCAGCCTCGAGGAGCTTGGACTAGGGAACGAGTCCCAAGGGTGGCTAAAGAGGCCAAAGCAGGCAAAGGAGTTGAGTACTGCGGCGGCAAAAAAGCTTCCCGAAGCAATCCTGCAAGCCAAGTGCAAAGGGTAGCGTGACCCGTGCACGCAAGGAGGCCACATGTTCTCCGATTGCAAGGCGGCGGCCATACACAGCGTCGGGGCTGGGCTGCAATGGCTGTCAACGAGACTCTGCATCGAACCGGCCTTGAGCCGGATAGTGTCCGAAGGCAGGAGCAACAGAACCTGGACCTAAATACTTTTAAAAAACCAAGGCGTATTGCGCAGAAAGCGAAGGGCTGCCTGCAGGGAGACCCGAAATCGCAGTTAAGTCATCACAGCCCGCAAAGCCACGAGCCCGTGGAGGCAATGCATCTGGAAGAAGTAGCTTCCAGTAACTTGCTGCCGGCTGCACAATGCTGACAAACGCTCCAGCTGAAGCCGCTGAAGCCCGTAAACACACGGGGAAACACAGCCGGTGAGCGGGGATAGTCTCCCGGTGTACGGCGCAAGAAGATAATCGCATGTCGGCTGTGTCCGTTGAGGAGCGTGTGTCGCCATTCCGATCCGCAAACGAAGGAGGCACGATGTGCCAGTCGTGGACCGCACCGCTGCAACTCAGGCTTTGAAAGGCTCAGGTCCAGGAATCCAGCACGGGAGTGAGCGACGGCCCAGCTGTCATCCTCCCAAAAGGCAAATGGAGAAAGCCTCATCGCCATGGGGAGCCCCCCAGGCAAAGGATACCGTCGGCTTGCCGGGGTGCCTCGGGCGCCCACCAAAAATACTTGGCTTAACACAGCTAAAGTTGGCTTGCGAAAAGCAACACGTGGATCCAGAAAAAGAAGCGACGAGCAGCAACCCTTCCGAGTAATCACGCAAGTAATTAGTCTTCATAAGGACGCCGGTGCGATGGCGATAAACCGAAACCAAACCGGCAACGTCGTCATATGTCGTCATTATCGGTACTAAAAAATGGCCTGCAATGACATTGCACTTCCGCTTCCCCTGATGAGGCACCAACCAAACCCGCAGCTGGAGCATCAGCACCACTGAATGTGGCAGCGTCGCGGAAGGCAGTTCCGGGCGTGGGCTGGGAGCGACAGCAAACTTGAGCGGTCATGCGATCGTCACTTGAAGGGAACTCCATGCAGGGAGCGAGGGTGGGACGCATGCTGTTTCCCAGGCTGGCCATCACATTGAGATGAGATTGCTGACTGTATTCGACGGCACAGAGTCGCGCATAGGCAAGGCACTCAATGCTAAATTGCCAAATAGCATGGTTCATTATGACCACCCAGGTTCATGAGGATGAAAAGCTAAACCCAAGCAGTTCGTTTGAGCTCGCCAAGAAGGAACAATAAAGGTAAAATACTTTTCGCTTACATCAGCGCAACAAAGCCGAAACACCTGGACTTGCCAAGGAAGGCTGGCCTGAGCCGAAAGGCAGCGTGGCACATGCGGCTTTGGTGTAGGCAGATCATGGAGTCTGCCACACTGGGATTAAGACGAAAGACTCATCTTTGGCAACAGTGAAGCAACCAACCGTCTCCGAAGGGTCCACTTCTGCGCACCGAAGAATCCGAAAGCTTTGAAATGGTGTGCACCGTGGGCCGGGAAGCCTGACTCCGAGGCAGCTTCACAGAACCTGGATCTAAACTCGCACGGTTGACCTCAGGGTCAATGAGTCGCGGCACAGGGTCAAACGTCCTGCAAAATGCCCGGGACATGATCTATGTAAACAGAGATCTGAGATCACGATAATGTGTGCTGCGTGTGAAGAAGGAGCGAAGTATGTGACCGAGAGGGCCTTCCAGCTAACAGATTCAGAGGCAGAGTCGCATCTGAAAATGAAGTGTACCCGAAGGTGACTGCGTCCCAGTGGGTGGTGCAGCAAGAGCACTCCCTCCCTCCGAGATATCTGGGCCAACAACTCCCAGGAGGCGAAAACAAGGCTTGGGCTCGTTGCATCCAAGATGCCAAGTGTCTTGATCCACTCGACCGGAAAAAGCACGTTTCATATGGTCGATTGCAAACAGCCAAGTGGTGATTGCTGCTTCCACCTCATGTTTGCACTTCTAAACACTGTCTTCGTGCAACGCTGAAAGTAAGGACCACTCACTGCTGAATTCGACAAGTTACATCCGGACATCCCTCGCCTTTCCCGGCATCGCAGGCTCGCAGACCCTCACACTTTGCAGTCCGCAATGCCACCCAGGCAGGCGGCAAGCGTGGTGGAGCACAATCGGAGGTTCCCGAGATCCAATGAGGCAGAAAAGCTCGACCTGGCTGCGTGGCTTGCGGATACAAAGCCAATAGTCGGATCGCTCAAATTTTTCGCCCTTCTAATGGCCTGCATCTGATTTTCGGAGGAAGCACGTCTTCACGCCGTACTGCTGTCCGAAGGTCCAGTGACTGCACTCTTCCACTTCGCTGCAAGCGCGGCTGCAAACGCCAGCATCGACGGCGGCGAACTTGTCTGGCAGGGGCTTGCAGGAATGCCAAGAGATGCCCGACTTTATCTGCCTTATCCCGCTGCTTCACAGCCCCTGCCTGTTAGTTTGCAATTGTTGAGAAAGCATCCAGTGTGGCCATAGAATGAGAGATCCGCAAAGATGCCATTCTCGCCAGCGTGTCGGAGGACAACTCCAGAATGCCAGCAAGCAGGGTACGATGCGGCCTCGGAAGGATGGAAGAAGGCTGGCATATGCTGGGCTTCCCAAGCAGGCGAGCCGGCTGCGGCCAGCAGCTTTAACAGTTGCAGCAGCGAAGCAAGCTCCGTTACAAAGAGGAGGTACATTGGAAGCTGAAGTCTTGAAGATGAAGCACTAGCAGCAGAGTCGCGCTCGCCGCCGCCACCAATTCCGGGGGAACTTCTGCAGGCTCTGCATCGATGCAGCAGCGCTCGAAAGTAAAGTCACCGCCCCAGCACGCGCCGTTTCCCTGCCAGGAAAGCAGGCAAGCAGATGCACTGGCGACAAGGCACTAGGATGCCCTCCTCGGGACCAAATTTGGCAGCACCTCTGCTCACAGCTGCGCAGAAATCAGCTTTGCTGCGGACCACACAACTCTGCTATACGCTGCAAAGGGACAGCACTGTTCCCAGGTGACACCATCCATCCAGCAGGTCTCATCTCCCCTGGAGTCCACCGTCGGGAGAAACAGCAAGCATCGCCACAGCCATCTCACGTGCATTTCATGAAGCAACACTAAGCAGTTGTGCAGACTCCCGGCGTCTGCACAACATTGCTGCTTCCGACCTCTTCCATGCTCTTGAGACAGAGGTCGCTGCAGCTATATCAGCTGTTCTCAAGCCATGACAGTTATGGACACCTCAAGTACGCAGCACAGCCGCTGCATCTTTTCTGGCACCAACGCTGAAAAATCATCGTGACTCCGAAGCGATGCCGTTTAGAGTCCAGCAACCGACATGCAAAGCTCGGCCAGACGGCTCTGCAAGCAGTGTGAGCTTTCTGGCTAGTCACTGTCTAACCAATCATCTGCGTTGAGATCGATGTCCTGGCACAGCTTTCGTCTCATTACTCGGGAGATTGGATGACGGAAGCAGCACGGAAGTGTCCAACACCCAGCCCTCATCGGGCTCGTCTTCCAAGCCTCGTCGTCATCGTCGTCCTCATCCAACTCTCCAAGATCGTCCTGCGCAGTCGAAAGTTGCAAATAGCGAATAAATAGCGCTAGCAGAGGACAACGTGCAGCTTCTGATTGGGGTCCTCCTGCTTCTGCTCCTCTTCCAGATCCTCATCACCCTCGACATACTCCAACCTGAGCAGAGCACTGAGCTCTCCGGTCTCAGCTCCCAGACCTCCCAGTCATTCCCAGTCCCATGCAGCGGCACTCTGACCACCGTCTCCGTGGCTTCCCTCTCGAGGACCTACAGAGCTCGCCGACCCCAATCATGTTCTTCTGACACCCTCGGCGAAAATCGTCTCCGGTCTCGGAGGACGCCCGACACGCTGTGAGTTAGGTCCGTGGAACAGAAAGAAGTTCGTGCCATGCGCTTGTCACCTTTATGCCATGCTCAGCTCCTCTTACACCGAACTGCCACAAACGCCCGGCAAGTCCCCAGCCCCGTCTCTCGGGCCTGTGCCCTGAAACACTACTTCGCATCTTTCTCTACGAGCAGAACCTGCTTAGCCACGTCATTGACCGAGATGCGACTGTCAACTTGAAATTGAAAGAACCAGGATACACGTTGCTTGCAGCGCCCGTTCACTCATGCGGCTGTGGCTGTTCACACGAGGGATCGTGCACGAAAGAGTTCCCATCCCATGCTTACCCTCCGGCCACAGCCCTGCATGTCACCGCGAACCGGCCAAAACGAGACCACACGAATGTGGAGCTCCAGCAATTACTGTTGGGCTGCCGGCATGGTGTGTTCGGGCAACTGAGATCCATGAATGAATCAACCCATGAAATTCACATTCAATCAGCATCTGTCTGCCTCATTCCCCCTGGATACAAGGCCGTGAAGTCGACCATGCATGTACATCAAAGTTCTGTAAGAGGCCTCGGCCAGGAATACTTCTTACAGAAACCTTTTCAACTTCAACGTCATTTCTGAGCATCGTGCACATCTGGAACTTGTGGCATCGTGAAGCGGCCTTGGTGCATTGGTAGCACACTCTTGCACAAAAAGCGTTGCATCGACCATTTCTCCAGGACGAAGGGAACCGATCACAACCGCAGGGCGCAGGAACCTTGTCTCTCTAGGAAAGACAAATGCACATGACCAGTGTTCAGACCAAGTATCTGCTGTCTTTTGTGACTTTTGCAATCTTTCTGGTGCAGTGTGATTATTTTAAGACGCACATACATACACAAGAAGCAGAACCGAAGAAAGCTCCTACTGCAATGCTCTGCAAGGCCAACCGAAGCAAAGTCAATCCAGATCTGCTCCGCTTCGGTACGTCGCTTGTCTGGAGCCGGGACTACTTGCGAGCAAATGTCCCGCGAGCAAACGAAACTGTAAATCCGCACGAGCCCTAGCTAACTGCATCTCGGAATTTGTCCAAGATTGTGTCGCATGACCCTTCTCAAACCACAATTAGGCTTCACATTTACACGAGTTTGCAGCTACCAAAACCTCCTGCATCTGGCTAGAAGCTTTAACAGGGTGGGGGCGTGTCGAAGTCCCAGGTGAAACGCACGAAGCACGACAGGTCGCAGCTTGTCAATAGGCTTTACGTGGTGCATCGTGCTCACTGCACCGCCAGAAGGAATTTTGCTGAAGGCTTCGGGACTGGAGGCCTTGCAGGCACAAAGGCAGCTGCCGGAGAGCATCTCGGAGCGCAGGGTAGGAACGAATGAAAGTACCTTGCAAAAGTCTCTCTGAGAAGAGTCGACTTGTTGCCAACAATGCCACCTGGTCCTCTGCCATTGGGCGCACCATGGTGATAGACCACCCGCTGCATCCACGCACAATAAACCTTCAACGAGTCTTCAGGGTTCACAATAACGAACGATTGTCGTGCACGTCAGGCGCTTAATGCTAGCAATCAAGCCGTGCCTGACCCTCCATTGGTTTCTCCATCAGCCGCCTGGCCTCAAAGCAGAGGCTTGGGCTTACGCGTTCAGCCTGAAGCGCTGAAGGCAAAGCCTTCCACGAGCTCCAAATGCACCAGGGTCGGAACGCATTCTTGCATCAGGTCATAGGCTTCAATGCTCGAAAGTTCCGAGACCGATGTGTCCTTGCAGAACCGTGCAAGTTCCTTACGACACCCTTGCACATACCGGACACCACTGCCGCAGGCGGACTGCACCAGAAGGCAAGACCTATGGAGTACTCAAGTCCGCCATGTATTCACGTCTCTTGAAATTGAACGGGTGCTCGAATGGCTCTAGCCCGGGCGGGATACACACGTACACCCGATACGGAGCCATGCCAAGTACTCAGCCGGGCAGACTACAGCGTTCGAAAGCCTTTCAACTGCAAGTGATCCAAGTGGTTTGATGGCTGGCCTTGGTGCGGAAACATTCCAGACACAAACTGCAAGACACAAGATGGACCAGAACCGGCCGAAGGTCGAAAGATATCAAAGAACGGGAACGTGAAGATTCTACTTGCTATAGGACAGTCAAGATGATGGGCACAGACCGGTACCAGCGGAAGTCTAAAGAGAACCAGGTGTCCATCAGGTCTCGATCTTTGAGCACCAGCGTCTTGTCAAGCGTGCTGCTATCCTGCCGACAACAGAAGCAGGACTATGCCCCCCCTGCTGTCTGATCAGATACCGTCTACGACAGGAACAGTGTGGTGGGCAGGCAGTGTTGCGAATGCTGACTGGCCTTCGATCTCAGTCCCTGCCGTAGAACTGGAGCCAGAGACAGATTACTGCCTGATGTTAGCAAGACGCAACACACATACATGTTTGCAAGACTCGTCCATAGCCTGCGGTCTCCGGACGACTTCCAGGAACAACCCTTGGACCAGGCAATGAGAAAGACATCGGCAGATGTCGACGATGGAGGCTCGTGCACTGTTCGCCGCTTCCCAGTGTCCTGGCATCCGTTTCGCACGGTTCACGAGCTCCCGATTCTTAAGCGACTTGAGGCGTCTCGAACGTTCGACCCACGGCCAAGCCCGGAGTCCGAGATGGCGCGTGGCAAGCGAGAGGGACAGCAGAGGAAAAGGACGAGGGCAGCACATCAGCTCACCCAAAAAATGGCTCGTTTCACGCTCCCGGCAGATTTCATTCGGGGGAGTCCAAGAGTCCAAGGTTGGTCGCACCTCCACGGCCTGCTGATCGGCTTTCGTTCTCTTCCTGAAAAGCTGGAACCCGTCATCTCCCGTTTGTGCAGTGTGCTGATGCTGAGGCGCAGGCTGAGGAGCAGTTTCTGCTGGACCAAGTACAGTTGCAGCAGCCCGTTGTTTGGCCTGGCTTTCGCAAGATAAAGGCTTCTAGATGCATCCAGCACTCTGAGTCCGCCACTGGCACTGAGTTGGCTGCTTCCTTGATCGACAGATTCTAACGAAACAGGAGTCTCCACTGCGCTCATCTGTCCGCGGTGATGCAAGCTTAAGCGAACCAGATTGCTTGGAAAACAACAAGGTAGCCCCCACGCCCTGTACTTCGTGCTCCTCTTTTCTGCACCATGTTCACTCCTTTTCCCGTGCCCGAGCAGCAGCGGGTGGTGGCTATCAGGGGAAGCCAGGTCGGGTCATTTGTCTATTCTTCGAATACACTGAAAGCCAAGAGGAAACAAAGCGGAGAAAAGTAAAAGCAAGGGCCCACGACAAAGGCACTTTCATGTTATTGATTGATCCGGCTTCCATCCAATCCTTTGCCTTCCTGAAGCAAGAAGACAAAATCATTTGTTGTTGCAGTTGTGTCTTTTGCCTTCTGCAATCTTCTGCTCTATTGACTCTACCCTTCCCAGGGTAGACAGTTGTTTCCGTCACCGTACAGCTCCATGATGATGCCTTTCCCCACACGCAACACTTATCTCAGAGCTCGCCCCGCGACGTGCTGCCATCCGAATCAAACCTGTTTGGAACGCATCATGTTCGGCAGTTTAGCACATTCTTCTGTAGAATCTGTAGAACCGATGGTCTGGCAGAGCGGCACCAGGGTCTGTGAGGACCACACATCTGCCCGAGGCTGCCCCGCAGCCAGAGCTTCCTGTACAAGCGCCAGTGGTTCGCAGTACAACACACCGTACAGGGTCACCAAAGCGTCGCTCGTCGCACGAAATAGCGACTCACACGCTAATGCTCTCAGGACCAGGCCACAATTGCAGCACCTTTCTTGGTCTTTGGCGGGGTCACCTGCGCCAAGCGTGAACTGCATTCTCCGTAGGAGACCTTCCACGAAAGCACGCTCAAGGCCGTAAAAAACTGACATCCAAACCCGTAACCGCCATAACCCCAATACTGCAGAGATCCAGCAAGCTTTTCGACCGGCAAAGGTTTCCTGAGGATCAGTGCCGTCTGGTCTCCGGCATTGTCGGCACAGCTCACCCGTGTTAGATGCGCTGGCAGCCCTGCTGGGTTCTACTGATCTTTGTTAGTCAAAACTTTGTCGGCGACGTAGACCATGAAGGGAAACGCGATCGCCCATTCCAGCGAGATGGCGAACAACCCAAACCTGGCGAAGCAGTGTCGTGCGATGCCGTGGGCACGGCAGATCCAGGATGAACCTTGAGAATCCTGGACACTGAGCCCAACCTTGTGATGTGAAGGGCTCCGAAATGCTCGCCACCGGCATATGCAGCTGGGCCGAACAGTGCCCCCAGAACGGCACAACCTGCCTTAAAAATGGACCGGTGCTTCTTGTCGGCTACTCTGATGCAACATGTCGTGTCTCAGCACCTCACAACATAGGGCTTGAAGACTACCAGATACTCAGCCTCGACAGCAGGTTGCGGCGACAGCTGCTCAATAGGTACTAGCACGACAGTCTGCCAGACTTCCTCCCATCCAAGCCGCTACACAGCCGAAGTTCGCCCACAGGGCCACAAACCAGACGGGCAACACTCCAAGAGCAGGAGAATCCGTGGAAAAGGACATTGTCCCGAAGGCCACCTTTACAGGAATGCCCACAGCATGGCACCCGAATCACATGGATGCGGTGCTCTGAAGCCCCTTGCCTGGATGGAATCCTCAGTGGCGATCCAACACGATTCCGTGTTCTGACACTGAGTTACGGAGCAGTGCTGACAGAAATCCAGCACCAGGCCCATGATGACGTACAATGCTATGACCTGAAGAACACAACTGGCAGTAAGAACACAGGAAGTGTCCAGGACTTTCTACCGAACTCTGCCATCCCTCAACAAAGTTTCGGCAAGATACCAAGAGAAGCTGAAGACGAGAATGGGATGTCGCCAATGCAAGCGTTGCCAACGCAGCAACTGCAATGGGACCCTGCCACGGCTGCTTGGCTTCTGGACTAAGTGCGCAAGCAAACCTGAGCTTTCACCATCGTTGTCATGTCATGTCATGTCCTGGCTGCAGTCGAGTGCCAGGCCAGCAGAGGTTGCATCCGACGCAGAGGCAGATGCTGCGTGCCTGCGACGGAGCCCTGCCCGCCCAGGGCCTTCACATCCCTTTCCCTGTTCACAACAGCCCATAGCGATGCCAAGAAACTATTGCCATGGATGCGCCAACACCTGTGTGCAACAAGCGAACGTCTCGCTTCCCGCACCGATGCAATATTGTCAACTATCTGAACTGAGGCACCGACCCTTTGTGTCGCCAACCAATGGTGACGAAATGCTGCTCTGCATGGAGAAGCCAAGTGCAAGAAGCACTGAAGGAACAGTGATAACGGTGAGGCACGGCGGATGTGCTGCTGCTGTAGATGTGTTGGCTTCTTGGCTTCGTTCCCAGCTGTCTCTTCCGGGCTCGAGCCGAGGCTGCTGGCTGGAGCATGGCACGGAACGGATTGCAAACAAAACAAAGGGGCCGACGTGGCTTTGGGCACCTGTGCAAAGGAGGGTCTGGCAGCGGTGCCATGCGCCACCACCATCATCAACCTCTCTGTTCGCCTTGTTGCGTGCCCAGGAAAGCCCTAACCCGTCCCATCGCACACACAAAAGATTGATGTCGAGTGCAGGGGCGCCACATGTTTCTCATGGCGAGCTGCGCACCTCAACAAAAGCATGAGTTGTCACGAGGTCAAATCAAGAAACAGGTCGCACCTCGAGCACATAAGACTGTGCCTCCCAGCCTTCGGATCGACTGATGGAGGCGTGAGACATTCAGAATTCCGGAGGTCCCGGCTCGGTCTTCGAAACTGAGAAGCTCGGTGCAACCTCAAAGCAACCAAAATCGGCGAACCATGTTCAAAGTGGACTAGAGTTATACCAAGCTGCTGTTCGGACAGGCGCGTCCGATCCTGCCGACATACCCGAGCTGAAGAACACATGCGCATCGATTCAGCAATTTGCTTCGCAGCGCGTCGGCTGCATTGTAGGTACAGGTTTCTCCTGTCGATGCAGGTATCGGGCCGCTGCCCGAAACACTGGACGCGGCCCACAGAACGCAGGAGATGTTCGATGGCAAGTTCCAATCCCTGGAATCTAGAAAATCATGACAAGTCCTCCAAGGATGCCGCAGAAGGGAAGACACGGACTACAAGCAGTACAACATCAAGGTAGCAACGGATGGCAGACAAACGCTACACCATAAATGGAGAAGATGGATGGCACACCCGTAACCCTGAAAGAGGATGATTGATCCGAACCCTAAACATGAGATGATGCTTCGAAAGAGGTCTGACCCGAAAATGATGGATGGCAGAATCGAACACGTAGAAGATCCTTGCAGGATATGATAGGTGTCAAGATAGCGGGTGGCTAACCCTGAATTCGATGATAGATTATTAGATGGTGCTACGCGGCAAACCCGAAACCCTTGAAGGGGGAAAACCAATACAAACCCCATATTATGAAATGAGCTGATGGATTGCTAAAACTATTCCCTAAAATGAGATGTTGGATTGCAAGCTGGTGCATGGCAAAGCCTAAACCCTAAAACGTGGCAACCTGAATATGCCTGAAACGAAATGCCGATTGGCAAACCCTAAACCCAAAAAAGAGACCGCGGAATGTCAAACCCTAAGGACAAAACCCTGAACCAGGAGTGGTAGACGACAAAATCAAAACACCTCAGGGATCGTGGATTGCAAAACCCTGACCCGAAAAAGATGTGCTGGGTGGAAAGCTCTCTGTCACTAAGGACCCGGCCGATGGATGGGTGGCAGGCCCTGAACCCGAACTGGCACGTAATGGATTGCAAACCCTAAACTTTTTGAGGCGATGGTGGGAAGGACATGATGGGTGGCAAACCCTGAACCCGAAACCACATTGATGGATGGCGAGCCATTAACGCTAAACAAGCGTGATTGCTGGCTACTCCTGGACTTTGAAAGACGACAATAGATGCAAACCCGAAACACCCCCAAAAAGAAGGTCATGAATACAAGAAGACCCCAACAAGAACAAATAAAGAGCGTGTTGTAATGAAGTGAAAAGTATGCACGGCAACGCTCCTTTATTTGCTTCTTTTGCCTTTTCGTTTGTCCTGCTAAGGCTCAGATTATAAGACAAAGGAAAATTGAAATGACTGCGTGCGTTTTCTTATTTGCTCTTTTTCATTTGACCTTTTGCAACAGGACAAAGGAATGAAGCGAAGAGAGAAAGATAACAATGTTGAAAAGAAGAGAGAAACCCTCACGTTCCTCACGCTTTCCTGCTTTTCACATTGGTTTTTTCCTTTTCCCGATAACAGCAGGTGTCTCTAGCTTACCCCTTTCTTTCATAAGTTTAGTCGCGGTCGTTTCCACCGAACCCTGCAATGAAAGCGTGGTGTATTTCGTGTCTGTTTTTTGCACCCACAGAAGCCCAGATTAAATGAAATTAAAGCAAAGCACGAGTGTTCGCTTGTTTTTGTTTAGCTCAAACATTGTAACAGAATTTGACCTTTTGTTTTATCTTCCAATCTTGCGACTTGGTTTTTCGCTCTTTTCTTGCTCACTTCATGCCTCATTCCGTTGCGTTACAACAAACACACTATTTTCTTCTGTTGAATTTCTATTTGACTGAAACAACCCAAATAGAACCTTGCTTTGATTACATTCATTTGGTCATTTCGTGCCCTTCTCTTCTTTTCCTCTGTCTCTAGGAGATGATCTGTTGAGTCGTGAAGCCAAGCTGGCAGCATGAAGGGAAAAGGAACACAGAAATGACTAAAGAGAGAAACGGATAAAGAAGCGCAGGCTTTCGGCCTCCCTGCGCTTGCTTTTTGTGCTCTTCATTTCGTTCATGTTGTTTTGCTGTACTGCAATAAACAGACACTCAGCTCTTCGTTTGCTTTATTACATGAATTTAAAACGGACGGCTGACCTAAGCTCTGCAGCGAGCGAGTGGATGGCAAAAAAATAGACCGTAACAGTCTCCATGGTTCTCTTAAAAAATGAACCACGCGAAGCAAAATCTTAGGAGGAGATCACGGCTGGAAAATCAAGCCTTCTCCGGAAAAATGACTGGTTAGTCCCAAAAGGTCCTAGAGTCCTACACCCTTACAGGGGACAGCCGGTGAGGACTCAGACCGCCGGCTGCAGGATATGGGCCGCCGGCCCGGATGCGGGACGGGGGATCACAGCATTGCCCCGTGGCTGCAATCCTGCCTGTTTCGAACGTCCAGCATACAACGATTGAAGGTCCGTGGCCGACTGCCAGCAGCCGCCCGCCTGGGGAAGTAACGCCCTCATCACAGCGCCAGACCAGTGGACTGCAAGACAAAAACAGCCCGCGCATCGCCAGCGCCTGCATCCCTCTCCTTTGCCAAGCGAGCTTCTTTCACTCGCTCGTGGCAGGTAAGCACCTGCACACCGAATGGAGTCACGAAACGCTGCACTGCAATTCACCCTCAGACTTCGCTTACGCACGCACCCTCGTCGAACTCGTGGGCGTCCTCTTGCCGTGAGCCACTCCTCCTGCAGATGCATTCATCACGACGGCACTGACGACAGGCTTTGCAAGCGACCAGCAACTCGTGGAAATCAACATTTTTCTTGAGCACGATCGAGCCTTGGTTTTCCGGGCCTGCATCGAAGAAGTCCACCTCTTGACAAAACAGGCTCCAAACCTGGCTCGCATCTCGCACTGACTGAGCCTGCATGGCGCCGTCAGAAGCCAAAGCCATCAGGCGGCCCTCGAAGCAGCAAAGATCCACATGGGCAGCGCCGCCTGCTGGGGCCTTCAAGCACTTGCTCGCCTGCAGCGAGAGCCAACATGATTCAAAAAAATCTTCCGGTTTTATCAGGCTTGCTTAGCTTGGCTTGCAACTTAGCCTTGTGAAGGTTGGACAAGCTTGCACCGGCAGCTGGGAGTCGCCACAGCTTTAGAGGAGCCGCGATGGAAGAGCTCAGAAGCCATTCTGACGTTAAGCCGGATACTGCCAAGCCGGAGACTGAGTTCCTTAGGGTAACTTGCTTGTAATCTCCATGCTACCCAGGTCAACCGGAGTGAAGAACAACAAATAACAACGGCTACTCACCACAATTACCATCGGAACAACAGAACAGAAACAGCAACAGCAATAGCTGCAGCGGCAACAACAACAACAACAGCAGACAGCAGTAGCGACACCGCTCGACTGACCAGAAAATTTCGTGGAACATGGCTCACCCGCGCCACGAAGTCACCAACCTACGGACTCCAAGCTGCTATTTTGGTACAGCGGTTTTTTTGGATCGCTCGTACATTGTAGTTGGGTCAACTGCTTTTCTCCAACCGAAGGCCAGCGCAGCTGCGGCATGTGCACCTTTGCGCCGGTTCTCAAACTGTTGAATTGCTGTCCGCCTTGAAAACTGCTTCTGTGCAAAGCTGATAACAAACTAGAATTGACGTTTGCTGACCGGCCGATCCGAGATGTGCCTTGGCAGTTGTTACAGCTCCGGAATTCCATTTTGGTGATCCGCTTCTTTGTTTTACATTGAGCCACGGCAACCTTCCGTCACTGTCGGAATGCCGCGACACGGCAGCGAGTTTCTCACCCTGCATAATGCCAGTTATGTCTGATTTGCTATTTTGCAGTTTACTGCGAACGCATCAACTGCAGTGTCCGCCGGATCCAACAAAGCGGTTCTGGACTATGCGTCGGTCTGAGCCGCAAGAATTTTGCGCGCGCAAGCTTCCGCCGCGACAGTGTGACTTACATGAAGTTGTTTTGATGTTCGGGCGGACTTCTCCGTTACCCTATGGGGGGAATGAGCTCGCACGTTGGGACAGAACTCTCTTTTCAGCCGTTGCATTGAAACCGGTCCTCTGGTGAAAAACCACACGGTCGGAAGCAGGACGACGTCCCGATCCTTTTGCGGCGGTCGGACCAAAGATGATCGAGCCGCTACGCTTGACCCGAACACGGGAACCGTCCCAAAAGAACCTGAAGCAACGGCGGGTGCATGGCATGCTAAGCACATTGCAAAGCATGCTTAGAGTTATGCGACTTCGATCTTTTGCACCGCTCCGAACTCAGTCGCTTTGCATCACACAACCTCTACACGAGGATATGCTTTGGGATTCTATCCGGTTCCTCAGGATAGACTGTAACCCAGGCACAACTGACACCCAGTTGGCCGAAGCCCGCTTCTCGGGCTTGAGCACCCAAGGCAC